CTCCATCCCTCCATCCCTCCATCCCTCCATCCCTCCATCCCTCCATCCCTCCATCCCTCCATATAACGCCCTAAAGTACGCAGTTTTGCCACGCCCCATCAATTTGGACGGGATAAAGGGAAACTGGGACCGAGCAGAGTCTCGCTGGGTGGTGACGTCACAACAAGAACGAATGTTTTGATAAGCAAAGATTCTTACTAGTAAGTTAGGTCAGAATATGAGAAAATGCCGACTAGATGTGTTGTTGATGGGTGCTCAAACACCTCAGATTTTACGAAAGGTATATACTTGCATAAGATCCCATTTCATAACGACAATCGCCCAGAAGCAAAGTCCAGGAGGAAGCAATGGATGATTTTGTGAAGACAAAGCGAGCAAATTTCAACCCCTCGGCTACCTCCGTCTTATGTTCTACACACTTCCTACCAGAGGATTATAATCAGAGATTTGATTTTGTCTCGAAAAATCGTCCTCAGTTAGTTAAAGATGAGGTTGGGACTGTTGCCATCCCAAGGATTTATGTCTGCAACCATGAAGAGCAAACATGCAAACTGTCGGATCGTGATCGTCGAAAGGTAAGTGTCGCTGGTCAAATCTCCAGGAATGTTTACTTGTTCGATAGTTCTAATTCTCTGATTTTATTTTTCAAACTGTTTTATTATCTATTTTCCAAAGGCTTTAAAAGATGCCATTGCCTCCGTGTCTTCAACGATAGAAGTTGAGTTGCCGGTGCGAGAAGTAGTCGAACAACAACAATAATTTTAATCTAATACAACATATTGGTGGCTAATTAGAGAAAAACATAACATATATTTCATTTGTTGTACTGAACTGTGTCAGTAAAAGGTATTATTGAGCAAAATATTGACTAGTTTTTTTATTATTGCATGCATCTTTCGTAATACCTACAACATAGAATGATAATAATAAAGTCAAACTTATCAACTCAAATTTACAAAACACTTCCACTTTGAGGTTACTACTGTACACACCACTGAAATACACCTAAACGTCGTGTGAAATGGTAAACTTTACTTCATGTTTGACGTACATAAAACGTATCGAGTACGACTAAATCTCCCAGTAACCCCTTGCGGGAAGTGGGTCTCCACAGGCAGCCCAAAGTCCATTACAGTGGCCCCCTTCTAGTTGCAACATGATGTTGAAACGGTTCGGTGCTTTTATCTGTCTTCCACTACGTGTATAATAAGGTTTTGGAGGGGGATGCACCTTCTTGTGTGTTTGTGGTTGCGGCTTTCTCACTTTGACTTGCTTAGACTGCATTGAAGACTTGGCACACTTCTTTTCCTCATTGCTAGGAAGAGAATCAACAAATGCTGGCTTGAGACGATCTAATGAAATTGTGTCCTGCCGCCCATCATCATCCAGCTTGAAAAACTTCGGATTGCGTTGTACTATACGGTACGGTCCCTTGTATGGCGGCTCTAATGGCTTTTTTACGTGGACTTGCCGGACGAAAACATGTGTACATGTATCCAGGGCTTTGCTGATGTAAGTTGGACAAGCTGGAAGCTTTGTAGGTGTAGGCTTAAGAGACTGCATGCCGCTTTTGAGCTTGCTGACAAACTCTGAAGTGAGAATAGTTGAGTCTTGTGACCCAGAGTTAAATAATTGTCCAGGTAAACGCAAGGTGGTTCCATAAACAAGTTCAGAAGTGCAAGCTTGGAGATCCTCCTTGTAAGCACTTCGCAAACCAAGTAGGATTAAGGGCAGAGAGTCCACCCATGTTAGTGCATTGGTTTTAGCCTTGAGAGAAGCTTTGAGTTGGCGATGAAACCTTTAAATCATGCCATTGGAAATGGGGTGGTATGCTGTTGTACGAATGTGTTTTGTTCCAAGAAGCTTACTAAGTTCCTGCCACAAATGTGACTCGAATTGTCTTCCTCTATCCGTAGTGACTGTAGATGGAATTCCAAATCTTGCTACCCATCCAGAAACAAAGGCTTTGGCAACTGTTTCTGCTGTTGCATCACTGATTGGTATAGCTTCTGGCCAGCGTGTGAAGCGGTCGATGCACGTAAGCAAGTACATGTAACCCTGAGCTGGTGGTAAGGGACCCACCAGGTCGATATGAACATTGTCAAATCTGTGCTTGGGGAGGTCAAATTCACCGAGAGGTGTAGATGTGTGTCGATGAATCTTTGACCGTTGGCACGCTACGCATTCTCTGGCCCATTTCCTCACGTCTGCATTCATCTTAGTCCATATGAAACGAGTTGTGATAAGTCACTGCGTCCCTCTGATTCCTGGGTGTGATAAATCCATGAAATGAATCAAATATTGTTCGTCTAAATTCCTTGGGTACAATTGGTCTTGGAGTGCCTGTAGAAACATCGCACAATACGGGTTTCGTTACTGCGGTAAACAGAGCCTCTTTTACTTGCACAGTGTTGTTGCGGCGTTTGATATTTTGGATCTCGGAGTCTCCTTTTTGATCCTCTGCGAGCAGGTCATAGTCTAATACCGGGCTTCCTTCTACCAAATTGATAACGACTCACGAAAGTGCGTCAGCTGCTGCATTGGCACTGCCTTTGAAATAGCGGATATCTGGTTTAAACTCTGAGATATAGGACATTTGTCTAACTTCCCTTGGTGTGTACTTATCAGAGTTGCAATTGAAGATATATGTCAGTGGTTTATGATCTGTGAGAACATAAAAGTTCCTACCTTCTAGTAGGTGTCGAAAGTGCTTGACCGCTAGGTAAATTCCATGTAGCTCTTTTTCAAAGGTGCTGTAGCTACTCTCTGCTGGCTTAAGTTTCTTAGAGAAGAATCCGTGTGCTCGCCAGTCACCATCGATCTTCTGCTGAAGGACTGCTCCTACTGCTACACCTAATGCGTCTACAATCAGACATGTTTCAGCTGTTGGATGCCAATGGGATAGGTGTGCAGCTGCTGCCATGGCTTCCTTGAGGTTGTTAAAATCTCTGACTAGCTCCTCTGTCCACTGCGGTGTTGTCTTTTTTTGTCTGCTTGTGTTAAACAGGAGAGGAGTGGAGCCTGCAGAGTAGCTCAGTTTGGTATAAATCTGTGATAGAAATTCACAAGGCCTAGGAATTCTCTAAGCTTCTTGGTAGTATGAGGAAGAGGAAAATCAAGAACTGCCTCTTTCTCTGAAACTTTCTCCGTCAATGGTCGTATGCCATCTTTACTGATATGGTGTCCCAGGAAGATCAGCTCGGATTTTCCGAACTCACACTTGTCTGGATTGATAACGAGACCATATTCATCCAAACGCTTGAACAACAATCGTAAATGTCTCTCGTGTTTATCAGGTGTTGTGCTGGCCACTAAAATATCATCAATGTATCCATAACAAAAGTCTATTCCATGGAGGACCTGATCAATAAACCTCTGAAATGATGTAAAGTCCTGGATATGTGGTATAGGATAACGGTATGGTACCGTTATGTCGTTAAGTGCACGGTAATCACCGCACGGTCTCCACTCTCCTGGGGTTTTCTTAGGTACCATGTGCTAAGGTGAAGACCAGTTGCTTTGTGAGGGTCTTATAATACCAATATCCATAAGGTTATTGAATTCAGTGCGTGCGATTTTCAGCTTCTCTGGAGATAGACGTCTAGGTCTGGAATGGACCGGTTGTCCTCTCGTGATAATGTGATGGGTTACTTTGTGCTTAACACTCATGTCCTGGGTAACCCTAGTAATGGATGGAAATTCGCCGAGGATTCTGTCGTATCTGGATTGAGGCGCTACATGCAGTTATAGGACTGATTGCTTGTACTTGCGCAGTTGAGCCCTGAGTGCTGAGATAAGTAGTGGCATCAAGCAGTCTACTTTTACTAACATCAACGAGCAAACAATAATGGCGTAGGAAGTCTGTTCCAATTATTGGAAATTTAACGTCTGCCACCACAAAGTACCATTGAAACTTACTGCGTAAACCAAGGTTTAAGTTAACCGAACGAGTGCCATAGGGTTTATTTTTGCTGTGGTTTGCAGCTTCGAGAGAAATGGTACTGGGTTGTAGGGGAGGTCCCTGTTTATTAAACGGTAAAACACTTACTTCTGCGCCAGTGTCAACTAAGAACTGTTTTTCTGAACTTCTATCTGTACCGAAAAATAGGCGACTCTTTGTTCCTGTCAGCATGCTAGTCGACTTCACGTGCCGACCGTTTAGTTTCCCTGGCTGCAGGGTTGTTGACATTTGCGAGCGTTTTTTCCAAACTGCTGATGATACCAGCACAGTGGTTCCTTTGAAACTTGGGGGGTCGGAGGTTCCAGCTTCTGTTTAATGCTTCTTCTGTTGCCTAGTTAGTGTGGCTAACGTGTTATTGATTTCTTTAAGTTCAGAATCTCAGTAGATTCCGTTGAGGGTTGGATATTGTTGACATTTAGGCCCTGTTCATCCATGACTTTGTCGGCTAACTGTGCAAGCTCTTCAAGGGTTGTTGTTGTGGTGGTTGTTACCGCCAGTAGTTGTCTAACGTGCTGAGGCAATCTTTTTAAAAATAACTCACGAACCAATGGATGGTCAGCAGAATGGTCGTCCAATAACTGTTGGAAACGCCTAAGGATCTGGGAGGGTTTGCGGTCTCCTAAGTCTTCCGTTGCTAATAATTGTTGCAGTTTCTTGGCTTTACTTGTTGTTGTTCTCTCCAAAAGTTTCTCCTTTAGTTTGTTGTAGGCGTCCTCAGTTGGCTTTTGTATCAACAGGTCGCGAATATCGACAGCCACCTCGGGTGGAATAGAAGCTACTACATAATGGAATTTTGTGTCTTGATCTGTGATCTTTCGAGTAGAGAACTGTGATTCTACTTGAGCGAACCATACCTGGGGATCGGTTGGCCAGAATGGAGGTAATTTTAAAGAAACAGCAGCAATGTCGGATATATTTTCACCTTCGTTGTCAGGCATCGTCGATTTAGCAGTGAAAAAATGAGCGTGATGAGACGAAAATTCGTAAATAAGATGTAAATTTCCAAACTTTATGAACTGTGTGACTTTGTAGGCTTGCTGATTGTTCTTGCGTTGGGGTCACCAATGTAGACCACTAAAATACACCTAAACTTCGTGTGAAATGGTAAACTTTACTTCATGTTTGACGTATATAAAACGTATCGAGTACGACTAAATCTCCCAGTAACCCCTTGCGGGGAGTGGGTCTCCACAGCGAGCCCGAAGTCCACTACATTAAGTTTGTTGTTGTTGGTGTTGTTGTTGTTTTTTTGAGGATGGGTGTTGATTTAGTAAGTCCTATTTTTAAGTAACTATAAAACTGGGGCCAGCTATAAACAATGAAAGAAACTAACATGGAACTATTTGAGAGGATAAGACCCCAGTGTCATAAACTTCTTTATCAGAATATTTCTGTTCGCATGAACGGCTTCGTCTAATTCTTCGTCCTCAAGGTCGTAAATACTCACATTCATTTCTTAATCGAAGTATTCATCAGCATTATCAATGGATTCCATGTCACAGCCTTTCTTTGACAACTGGTTAATTTCGAAGATACAAAGAGGCAAATAAAGCGACCAAAACAGGTAAAAACACTGGAAGGAACAGCCAAGCTCTACTTTATTTTACTTATTGGAAGCCCAGTTGTTCTTGTTGCGACGTCATTCGACGCCAACTAGGTACCAGACCTCGCGATCCCGTCGATGGGGCGTGGCAAAACTGCGTACTTTAGGGCGTTTTATCTCCGAGAGTATTTAGTCAATTTTGTTTATTCATCTCCAAAACACTCCACCAATCAAAATTGATCATAATCCTATGAGGTTAGGCACTTTAAGAGTAAATTGCAAGCACTCCATTTATTTATTATTATTTTTATTTCAATTTCATTTTTTTGTGTTCAACTACTTGTCCCTTTTTTATTTGCCATAACATTAACTATGGTTAGTCTAAGCACGTTGCACTTCTAAGTAGAGTGCACGCACTAAACCCGTGAAACAAATGCTAACTTTTAGTACTAAATGGTGATTAAAAAAAACAATAGAAAACAAAGGATTCTGTATGAAATAGTACTAATTAGTACTAATTAATGTTCACGGATTTAGTGCGTGCACTCTTAGACAATCGATTCAAAGCAGGTAATAGTCTTTGTGATGGAAGCCTGTGTCTGACTGGTTACTCTTTTACTAAATATTTTAAACTGAGATCATCTAAGTTCTTTTAGATTCCTTTGAGATTGAACGATAAGCCGAATTAGGATCAACGATGATGACTTGAAATATTTCCATTAGATTAGCCAAACTAAAGGATTTGACAAGACATCGTTTGATGAGAATATAAACGGAAAAGGTGCTCCTTACAGAATTTGACGATCATTCAGAAGTTTGTCTGTGGAGAAAACAAATAGAAATCATTCAAAAAAGAAGAAACGCGTTAGTTCAAAAGTAGATTTAGAATATATACTTAATGACATGCTTTTGGTATAAGAACCAACACCTTGAATCAGTCTGTGAAGTGCGAAGGGATTAGCTCTGCTTCTGGAGGAAATGTTCCAAATGATAGAGTAGATTACTCTTCCATTTGCTGGCAGTGTTATTGGATCTGATAAACAAATAAAAGAAAAGCGTTTAAAGGACCAGTTTAAAACGTGGTGCTTTGCGCGCCTTTTAACGCTTGGCAGCCATTTTTCGTATAAAAAAAGTCGTAAGTTTATTGCATAAGTTTTCATCTGTTTCCATCTGRCATGTCAAGCTTTTTCCATCGGTTATAACGCTTTATTATAAGTCTTTTAAAGTGCATATGACCCCTAAAATCAAACCACTTTTAACATATTCTAGACATCAGCAGCTTTCAAATGATATACATATGAGGTCGATGGGATATTTCCTGGGCGAGATATTGAGGTGCRACTTTGGGCTTCCTGTTCAGGGTGGATGTGAAAAAGTGATCTGAGAGCAAGAGTAATCTGTGACGTCAAGATAGGTATCGGAGCATGCGTACTAATCACTAAGCTAACGGAGCATGCGTACTATCTATAAACGGTCAATAAACGTTGAATTACAAAGCCTCAACCCCGAAGTTGTGCATATGAAAGCATCTACTAATTATATGTTTGGCTTCCTTTCTTTATCATTGGGAAACCAAAGTGAATTAAGCATACCACTTCATTAGATCTTGGTCCAAATCCTCCTATCCCACGCAGACGTCGCTCTGAAGTGAACGCTCCTGTTACTGTTAGAAATCGCCAACCGTTTTGGAAAATCCTCTGTCATTATAATTGTTAGATAATCCTACAAAAGAGCAGGCGTTTTTAGTTAACTAAGAAAACAGCACGTAACCCCTGCAGGATGGCTTCGTGATGTGAAAGCCCTCGTAAAATGTATAAGAATGGCGTTTACTATTCTGTGATATCTGTTTTGGTTGCCGAGATATTCAATAGAAATTATAAAATGATGAC